AGAACCCGTGTGGATGTAAAGACATGCAGATGTACAAAACCCATTTAACACACACAGTGGATATAACTGTATTACATTTCTTTCCATGCAAAGCATTTGAAAGTAAGCAATTGATAGGGAAAAATATGTTTAGGATGGCATTGTAACCAAAAACGGGAATGGAAAGCAGTAAATCATTGTTACTGTTCTGTAATAATTACTGTGTTGGAGCTTTTACAGTTTTAAAAACAAATTGTATTTTTCATTTACTTTTAATAAAATGACAAGCAGATATGACAAGAAGAGCATAAATTTGGGTACATGCTTTTGTACACAAAATATTGTTTTACTCATGTTCACCGTTAAGCTTGCAATGTGATATATTAATGTAAGGTTATGATGTTTTGCATTTAAATCTTAAACAGTATAAAATGTAAAGTTTTCTTCACACTTAAAGGAAAAAAAATAAAGTTTTCTAGTAAAAGAGAATTTGATTCTATGATCTGATGGTTGAAAATACTCCATGGTGGCTCCTATTGCTCCAGACTTTTCCTGGTCCTACGGGATTGCTTGTATGTCTGCTTTTAGGATGAACAGCCATTAACAAAGGGAGATTGAAGTAATAGCATCAGCCACAAATGTATTGGGCACTGAAGGGATATGTGTCTGTGTTAAGAGTGTTTTATGATACTCATTTGTCCCTGAGGTGGCATTGGAAGAGGCTGTGTGTCAGTGTGTGCAATGTCAGTTGGAATATGCTTAAATACACAGTTGTCTTCCAAGCAACTTTTGGGGCTAAATCCTTTCATTTTTTCTCACATTGAATCTCTACTGTGGGAAACGGAACCTACTCAATCCCTGGTTTTGTGCAGGTGTTGTCCCACCCCTGCTGAGCTATCGTTCCTTCCCAGTGTGTTTAGTTGGGTTAATACTGTTAAACAGACTTTATTTGGAGACTTCTCTTGAAGAGAAGGTGTTGCTTCTGAGATGACATCTGGAAGTTTCAGGTCTTCAAAAGATCCCAGTTTTCTGTAATTTCACGCGGGGGTTTTTAGATTTTTTGTGTCCAACACAATTAGGATTATGAAGATATTAGTGATAGTAACTGGGTAGAATGCCTTAGAAAAGCAAGAAGTGTGACCTTCTCTTCCAAACATTAGGTATACACATAAAATGGATAGATATGGCATAACCTGACCCTGTGGCACTTGTATGTATCTGTATAATTACCACTGAAGAGCCTGTTAATTTGCAAGTTTAGGGATGTTTAGATTAAATGAGAGTGTTGTGGAATGACTGTGTAAGGTGCAGCAGCACAGAGTGGCCCTGCAAGGGGCTGTTCCCCCCCACACTGAGGTGGAGGAGCAGTGAGTGGCATAGCCCTGGAGCCCCCCACCACCCCAGCCAGCCACAGTCTGGGGGTCAGGATATGGGAAGCGAGGGCTTTTACCCCGAATGGAGGCTTTTTTTGATTCCTCTCAGCAAAGCTGGTCAGATCGGAGCTGAAGTCTTGGCAAGGAGTAAACTGGATTTTCCCCCCTCCCCTTCTCCCTCTCTAATCAACTCTGGGCACCGTGCCTTGTCTTGGCCCCGCAGAAAGGCTGGGAAATGCAAAATCATCTTCATAGCATTTAATATTAAATGGAGCTGGAAAATGCTGTGCTGTAAATAATTTGGGAAAGACTGAAGTTCGGAGGTTTGTGTTTTGAGACCCAAATCGCCTTCCCTTCCTTTCCCTTCTTGTGTCCCCTTCTCCCCGCCCACCCCCCCGCCCCTCACGCTTTTAACATTAAGGTTTGTGTTTATTTGTATTTATTTGCAGTTGGGGAAGAGGAGTGTTGATATATGGAGCCGGTGGCCAGGTTTTGCTGATGACATATGCGATATGAAAAACAATTCCCATCTGCAAACACGGTTGCTGCTGTGCCAAAATTCCTCTTTTCGCCGCCAAAGGCAGTTTTCTAAGGCCGAAGCAGAGCACATCTTCCCCTTCACATCCTTCCCCGTCTTCTGCAGAGCACCTTAAATGTGCCTTAATTGAATAGTTCTCCCGCACCCTCCTTATAGCAGTTTAATAGATTAACTCATCTGTGCCAGCTTCAAATTTCAGATTAAAATTCCTTCATCCCGAAGGCAGCATTATCAGGTTGTTGGAGGCTGTTTTCAAACCTTGGTTTTGAATAGCAGCGGCTCTGCATTAATTTAACCACTAAGCTAATAAGTAGGTTTCGTTTTGTTATGCTAAGCTTTATTGCTTTTCTTTTGATCAGAATGGTGTTGTTGAGCAAAGCAGCAGACAAGGCATTCTTTGATGAGGGAATTAGCGCTCTATTCTTCCTCTATTATTCATAGCACAGTGGAATATGTAAGTACCTGAGGGTGTCAAAGGAGAGCAGGCTCTATTGCAAAGTGTTCGCCTTGTTTCTCTCAATAGCTGACTATGAGATGATAAACCGCTTAATACACTGCACTAATTGGATGAGAGCAAAAAGAGATGGGAATTAAGGCACGGCGAAAGGAGAAAGTGCTACCAGCCTTCATTCACTCTTTCACCACTTTAACAGCACCAAAGGAGGCACAAGCTTTCTATAAGCAGACTAGGGGTTTTGTGCGGAGATAAAATGAACCTGTTAGTGGATTCAGGTAATACACTAATTATTGCACAGTATAAATACCACTACTGGTTTTATAACACGGAGGTAAACTTCTTTTGAGAAGGTTATAGGATTGCTTGGCAGCAGTATAGATCCTAATAAGGGACCAGAGTAATAACCCCCTGGATTAACAAAATTGCTGCTTGCAGAAGTATGATTCGGGCTTTTACGAAGATTTCAGCGGAATGAATAAAAATGACTGAATGACATTTCTTAATGCCTAATGGCTTGATAATGATTCCCTTTTCTTTAAGGCAAAAATGTATATTTCAGTCTGCACTGTTAATAACGTCCAGGGAACAAGCCTTATTTTTCCCATAAAATTTTTTCGCGCCTATGGTGGGTTTTAGAACTCAAAAATACGGTTGGGGGCGGGCGGGGTTGGGGGTGTGGGATGTGAAATGCCGTGGGTGGAAAGGGGGGGCTGCGGGTAAGGGTCGCGGCGGGCTCCCACGCGCGATGCTCGCTCCGGCACTTCCCGGTCGGCGGCTTCCGGAGCCGGGATCGCCCCGCCGGGCCGGGCCGAGCCCCCTCCGCTCGCCCAGCCCGGGGGGGGCTCTTCTCCGGCCCCGGCCCGCCGTTGTGGAGGGCTGCCGCGACTAGACCAAATCACCCCCAAAATTCCCCACATCCTGGCGCTCCGGTCCGGCCCCACACCTGCGGCCGTCGGGGGTCAGGGCTTGGCCGGGCGGACCAGGACTCATCGAGACCGGGAAGGGGCGCGGGGCGTGCGGCCGGGGCACTTCACGCATCTCGGCCCCTGCTCCGTGGAAGAGGCACACGAGAGCGCTGCGTCCAAAAAAGAAATTTTAAAAACAAACAAACAAAAAAACCCAAACCAAACAAAAAAAAAAAAAAAAAAAATCAAAAAGAAAGGAAAAAAGGAGAGGAAAAAAAAATAACACCCAAAGGGGGATAAAAGAAAAAGGAAGTTCATCTCGGGAAGAAAGGAGTGGCAGGCGCGTAGAAACTTTTTTGACCCCAAAGGTGCAGGAGAAACAAGCAAAGTGTTCCCCAAAATTCCCATTTTTCTCCCCCCGCCCTCGGCTTTCAGCAGCGGCGGAGTCAGGGACTGCCCCATCCCCGCCCGGGAAGTTGCCGAGTGTGCGTGGGGCGGTTTCCCGCGCTGTGGGGTCGCTGGCACCGAGAGGTGACCCCAGCGCACTGCGGGGTGGGGCGGGGGGACACGCCACGGTGTCCACGGCAGCGCGTGGGCAGTACTGCCGTGGGTGCCCCTCCGGACCCCGCGATCTGCAAATCCCCTGGCGAACGGGGCCGCCGGCACCTCGTTTCCACCCCGCCTAAGCTCTGGCCGTCGACCGCGACAGAGCGACCCTCGCCCACCCAAACCCCGTGGGGGGTTCCCGGCGGCGGGGCTGGCGGAGCGCAGCCCCCGGCCGGCCCGGCGGGGCTGAGCCCTGGGCACCCCCGGCCCCGGTGGCCCTGCAGCCCCCGCAAGGACTGGGCTTTTTGCTTTTTCTTTTGTTCCTTTTTTTTTTTTTTTTTGTTAAACATATATTTTTGTTTATTTTTTTTCTGAACGTGGCACTTCTCCACCGGATAGCAAGGAAAAGTGTTAACAATANTGAACGTGGCACTTCTCCACCGGATAGCAAGGAAAAGTGTTAACAATAACGACATTACACGAAAAAGTACTGTACCATCGCCTCTTGAGGGTTTCAGAAACCTCTACAGTTAATAAGTTAAATAAAGGGTTTGTACATAAATATTTGTCTAGGAACCCTATTATATCTACAACACAGTAAGAATCTACAGAATGACAAACTTTTACAACACTACACTGAGTGCAATTGTTTTATAACATTTCAAATATACAAAGCTCTGTTCTTTTTTATAACAATGGTATGTACAGAATCAATAATCACAGTTTAGTGACTTAAACAGTCCATATTCTAGCAGTGTATTTCCCTTTGGTTTGATATAAAAACCTTGGTTGGTGTAGTGATAAAGAATATAACAAGAAAAAGATATACCCTTTCTCTTAAGTGCACTGGTTATCTTACAGCATCAAATTTACTTTCAGTCTGCACTGGCAGCATCCTTGGTTAGCATATGCAGCTCGTTGCACCAACATGTAAAATAGTTTTCCAGCGCTTCTAACAGATCAACTGAACTTTCTAGGATGTTATTTTAAGAAGATGGGGACAGCTTTCCCCTCCTCTTTGCTTCTCTATCTTTTTTTTTTCTCTTTCTTAATTACAATTCTATTTGTTTTTTCTTTTTTTTTCTTGCCAGATAAACAGAAGGAAAAATATTTAGTGTATGAAACGCTAGTATATAGTAACTTTTATTAGGGCTTTTTTTTTTTTTTTTTTTACATTTTTTTTGTTTTGGTTTGTTTGGTTTTGGTTTTTTTTTTTTTTTTTTTTACTTTCCCCCCCCCTTAGTGTTCAGAGAGGAAATGGACACGTCGTACATTTAAGAAATGTACCAGCCAAGGAGTTAATTATTCAGGAGCTTGCAAGTGTCGGTTCACTCGTGTGATGCGAGAGGCGCTCGCTGTCTCCAAGTTCCTAAACCGAGAACCCACCACAGTCTCAGCTGCTGGTCCTCTTTTTTAAAAAATCGTTACTATTTTTTCCTCCCGTTTGGTCTTGATTCGTGCTGTCTGAGGTGACCTTTATTGATTCGCGTATTTACTCTCCTCTTTTCTCCCCCTCTCTCTTTTTTTTCCCCTCTCCCCCTCTAAAAAAAACCCCAAACCTAACCCGAACCCCGCGGACGGCGGCCATGCCTTAGCACACCTCTTTCCCCGTGCTGTTGCCGGGGAGGATGTTGAGCTGGGTGAGCTGGGCGGCGTGTTCCTTGGCCTTCAGCCGCAGGGCGGCGATGCTGGATGCCCGCCGGTCGGCGGCGGCGCTGGCCGGGTCCCCCAGCCCCGCCGAACCCACCGCACCCTCGGCGGCCGGCGCCGGCTGCCGCAGCAGGGCCGCGGCGCTGGAGGCGCTGCCCAGGGGGGACATGGTGGAAAAGAGCCTGCAAGGGAAGCACAGACGGGCCGTCACCGCCGAGCCGGGGACCGCATGGCCCCGCTCGCCTCCTCCCCGCCAGGCGGGGACGCGGCGGAGACAGAGACTCGCTGGGAATACCCGACGCCGGGGATGCAAAAGATAGTTTTGTGGGGGAAAATAAAAAAAAAAAAAGAGGAAAAATCGTTGAGGCTGGTCCTCCCCGCCTTGTGTTCCCGGGGGGTACAGCCGGCAGGGAGGGGGATGCGAGGGGGGTTTCTCCCTAGGGAGAGAAAAAAAAAATAAAAAAGGGAAACCCCCGGTGCTGGGAAGGCAACGCTCCGTTAGCCGGGTCGCCCTCCGCCTGCCCCAGCGCCCCGCTCTGCGCCCCGACGGGGCGGCCGCGGCTCCGCGGCAGCTCTGCCGGCACTGCCTGGGGCTTCCCCGGCTTCGGCCGCGGACGCTTCGCGTGGAGGTACGCGGACCCCACGGGAGCTCGACCCGACAAGAACCCGTGGAAGCTGCTCGGCCCCGCTTACGCCCACAGCTAAAAATTCGCTTCTCACGGACACCCCCGGCCGGAGGCGCTCACGGCGCCCGGGATGTCACAACTTCTGTTCACCCCGAACGGCCAAACACCAGCAACTCTCGCCACCCCTGGCAAAGCAGAGGCCACGCGTGCACGTTGGGCAACCCACGCAACAATTTAGTGTCTGCGTGGGAGCACCGGTTTCCGCGGGGCCCCTGCCGCGCCCCTGCCCCGCGGGACCGCCCGTGCTCCCGCCGGCGCCGCCGCCATGGCCGGGCCCGTCCGCCCCCACGGGGCACCCGCGGCCGCGCGGGGGGCGGGCGCGAGGGCCGCCCTCGCCCAATAGGAGGCCAGGACGGGAGCACGTGACCCGCGCGGCGCCCAATCGGCGCCGGATGCCGAGCGCTCCAAGTTCGAACGCCGGGGCGGCCGCGCGCGGCGGGTCCCGCGTGGGGCCGAGATCCCTCCGTGATAACCCCGCGGTGCCCCCGCGGTCCGACCCCGGAGCCGCCGCCACCCCCGCCCCGAGGGCCCCCCGGTGCCAGGTCGCGCGTGGGCGGGCGGTACCTGCCGAAGGCGGGGCTGATGAAGGCAGGGTGGCGGAACACGGCCGCGCCCAGGAAGGTGCCGAGGCCGAGCGGGGTCCCGCCGGGGGGCAGCGCCGCGGAGCCGGGGGGCGGCGGCGGCAGGCTGGGAAAGGCGGCGGCCGCGGCGGCGGCGGCGGTCCAGGCGGAGTCTAGAGCTGGGTGATGAGGAGGGAAAGGACTAGCATCAAGGTATGGACTGAGGGGGTGAGTTGCTGACAGGGGACCAGGGAAAGGCAAACCTGGGGGGTGTGTCTGAGCCCCAGCCTTTTCCCTCTTCCGCCACTTAGCCCTACGGTTCTGGAACCATACCTGAAAGCCAAAAGAAAGACCGGTTTTAATACGCCTGCCCGCGCCCTCGGCGGGGCGAGCCGCGCAGGAGCCCCGCACCGGCCCGACGACGCCCGCTCCTCCGCAGTCCCCAAAGCGGGGGCACCCCAAAAAGGGGCCGGCCCGCGGGATACACGGGTGTCAGAGCCGCGCTGCAGCTCTGGGCGGTGCCGACCCACGCCGGAGCTCTCGGTGATCCCCCGGCCCTGCCCCGAGCCCTGGCTCCCGCAGGGGCGCAGCAGTTCCGCACCTCCACACTCGTTCGTGGCAGGTCGGCGGTGCGGGGCAGCTGTCGGCGCCGGAGGCGGCTCCCCCAGCACTGGAACTGCAGGAATACGATTTCCCAAGGGGACTATGCGGGAATTATTCCACACTCACACCGCTTTTTTTTTTTTCCTCTAAAGAGCATATTTACAAATTATATCGTTTGGGAAGCGTACTTTTTTTTTTCCCCCTTCAGATTTAAAGAGAGGGGAAAAAATCGTGAATTTCACTGCCTCAAAAACTATTTCTTCGTTTCAGACGTCAACCAAAGTAGCAAATATAGCTTTCCAGGCTGCCCTTTTAGGATCTATTTTATGAAAGTTAGTTAGGGTGCCACGGCACTGCCGTCCTTTCTCTCTTTTACCCCTCCCACAAAGCAACAATCGTGAACTAATACGGGCTTAAACCAGCAGAGAGGTAAAAATACAGCATTTCAAAGGAAAATAAAGTATTCCCTTAATAACCAAGTGTGCGATCATCACACACACCTAAAGAGAGAGACTTAGAGAGAGACAGATGTTTGTAAATCTTTTGGGGCAAGTGTGGACTGAGTTTTCCCCATTAGGCTGAGTTTTGTAAGCTCAGCGTGAGAACCCTTCTCTCTGGGAAGGGAGAAAGACAACAGTGCTGTGGGTCTCTCTGTGCAGTTGTTCAGTGAGAACTGATCTCCACACGCTCCCATCTGGGTACCCACGAGGAAGAGGCACTGCGTTCGCGGGGAAGGCAACAGCCTGGCATGGAGGGAGCGTCTCTCCCCGCTAAAACTCAATTAGCAAGCTGTCCTCGCTACAATTCCCCCTTATTGAATTAATAAGTCTGAGTACGCCCAAAGGTAAACGAAGGGACTCTCATAATTCATATTCACTTAATTACATCTTCTGCCATGAATAGAAGAGAGAGAAAGGGGGGGTCTTTCTTTTAAAAAAGTTATTTAACTTTCCCACGACTTGTTCCCCTGAGCTGAAAATACTGATTTGCTGTCACATCTCTGTTTGACAATGGAGAAATGTGTCAACAGAAAGGAGGGGACAAATCTCATCATTAGCCCCTCTAATGCAAGAAGCTGTTGTGTATTAAATGAGCCATATGGAATTTATTATGCTTTATCAGCGCCCGATTTTAACTGTAAAGTGATTTGCTCAGCTTCAAACCCAGAGACATCTGTTTTCTGTTGGCAATCAGGGCATCCCAATGTTTATCGTCTCTTTGGTTATGAGACCCGGGTTGGGAAATGCTCTCTGGTATGGGGCGGCAAACACCTTTAATAGCATTGCACTCACTCACTATTAGATCAATGCAGGCTTATTGCTATCAAAAATGGGAAATCAAATAGCATTAGCCAGCTCCTTGTGCAGCCGGAGAGGAAATCAAACAACATTTCGCCTTCAAATGGCCCTGTTTGTTCTAGCACTAAGTGGGCTTTTATGAAGCCCGATTGGAGATTTGATGGCAGCCAAATACCCGACTTGCGGCCGAGCGGGTCTCTAACAACCGAAGCCCCGTGGGGGCCCTGAGTTTTAATGACACGGGTTTTCGCCAGCCGATAGCTCGGCCCTGCAGGGGCCGGGGCCACTCTCTTCCCGGGCACCGCCGAGGGACGCGCCCGTCCCGGTCCCGCCGCCGCCACTCACCTGCACTCGGGCTTCGGTCAGATCGAGCCTCATGGCCAGCTCCTCCCTGGGGGAGACACACACGCCGCCGTCAGCCCGGGGCACCCCGAGGCTTCCGCGCCCAAAATCCCGGTGCCCAGGGGAAGCGGAGCCAGGCCGCGGGCAGATACCGCCTGTCCCTGTCGCCACCGAGCTGGGCGTCACTCGGGACTCTCGGGTTTTGGAACTCCCTCCCCGCCACTCCCCAAATTTGGCCGGTCCCCGCCGCAAGCCGCGGTGTAGGGGACGGACAGCAGCCACACTGCGATTCGCGTTGTCGCAATTAAGGCAAATCGGAAAATACTAAGGCGCTGGAAAATCGCTCATCAGCTCTGTGCCCGAGAGAGGAGCATTCCCAGCGTAACCAGGACACGGCCGCCTGCCGGGCGTGAAAAGCCCCGGAGAAAAAGCCAAAGCCGTAAAAGACACCAGCGAAAAAGCCAAAGCCGTAAAAAACACCAACGAAAAAAAGCGCGGTATGTTTCTACACAGCCCGGGCAGCCGCTCCCGAGGCCGGGGCCAGGCAGCGCCCAGAGGTGAGACCCGCGGGCGATGCGCGGCTTCGAGGTCCGGGCAACAAAACGCCCCCGCGGACACTCATGCCCCAACATCCCCCCTCTCCCTCCCGGGCAAAACAAACGAGAAGCCGGGAGGATCTCCGTGATCGAAAAGGGCAGCTCTGGGGACTCAGCCCCCCTCTGGCCTTAACGCGAGAGGGGGGAGCTGCAGTTTTAGGGCAGCGCAGGGAGGGGGCTGGCGGCTCTGCCTCTCTTCCTGCCTGCACTTTCCGCAGAAGAGCCGGCGGCCAGACCCACCGCCACCGAGCTCCCATTCTCAACGGAAAAATGACCCCGAAAGTGCGGACAGAGTCGAGCCGGGCCCCGCGGGGCTCCTCGGAGGCGGCTCCGGGCAGCGAGAGGCCCCGAAGTGCCAGGCCAGTATTTTTAGGCAGCGGCGCTTTGATCTGTGCCCCTGCCGGGGCTTCCCCGGGTCGGGCCAGGCTCCAGCCCACGAGGAGCGCGTAACCGATCCCGGCGGCGGCCGCGGCAAGAGGAGGGATGGGCAGGGGGTAAAAATAGCCCCCGGCGGCGGCCTTCAGGCGGGCCTGCCCGGGCGCTGCCGGCTTGAGTCCCTCCGGAGCCCGGCAATGTTCCCTGTCTCCTCCCAGCCCGAGGGTGCCCGAGGCAGGATTCACCCTCGGGGTCGGTTTGGAGACAGGGGTGCAGCACACGCACTGCGGCCCCGTCCCGTCCCCCCGGGGCTCGCCCTCTCCGCGCTCGGCTGAGGCTCCGGCGCCGGTACCTGGTGAAGACATCGGGGTAGTGGGTTTTCTGGAAGGCCCTCTCCAGCTCCTCCAGCTGGTAGCTAGTGAAGGTGGTGCGGTAGCGGCGCTGCTTCCTCTTGAGCAGCCCCTCCTCGGAGTCGCTGCCGGCCGAGAGGCAGACGCTCTCCTCGCCGTCTTTGCCCTCGCCGTCCTCGGGGTGCAGCAGCAGCTCCTCCTTGGGGGACAGATCCCCGCCCTCCGCCCCGGGGGCTGCGGCCGCGCCCCGGCGGGCATCCTTCAGCAGCCCCCCGCCGTCCTCGCCCAGCAGCTCCTCCTCCTCGTCGTCTTCCAGCTCCTCTTCCTCCTCGTCCTCCTCCTCTTCCAGCATCTCTTCGTCCTCCTCCTCCTCTTCCTCCTCGGCGGCCGGCGCGGCAGGGCCCGGCCGCTCCTCGACGTGCGCAGCGGGGCTGCCCAGCTCGTCCCGGGCGGGCGGCGGCGCCACGAAGGGCGCGTTTTCGCGGTAGCTCTTGCTGCGGCTGATGCTGACCTGGGGCGCCTGGCTGATCTTCAGCGTGTCCCACGGGGCGGCGGCGGGCACGGGGCCGGCGCCCCCCTCCGGTCGCCCCTCGGGCCGGTCCCCCCGCGGCCCCGCTGCCCGCGGCGGCAGCAGCCGGCCCCCGCCTGGCCCGTAGAGTCGGCGCAGTTTGGGGGGAAGGTGCAGCTCGGCCGGCTCGAAAGGGGGGCTGCCCTTAGGGGACCCTGAGCCAGGAGAGTGGCGTAGGCGGCCGCAGCAATCGGACGGAGCGGGCAGGTGTTGGGGAGAGAAGGGTGCGGAGGAAAAAGAGAAAGGAAGAGAGAGACACGGTCAGCAGGATCTGGGCGAAGAGCCCAGGGCGAGATCCTAGTCCCGCAGCCACCTTTCGGGCATCATTTTCCATCCCGTAACGGTGGTAAGACCCCCCCTTAACCCGTTCCTCAGACCAGCCCCTGCTCCCGGCCTGAGAAGAAATTGCTCCCGGCCGCAGAGCCCGGCCCAGCGCCCCGCTCAGAGGCGGGATAGGCTCCGGCGGCTCGGGCAGCTCCGGGCCTGCGCCGGCCCCTCTCCGACAGCGGCCAGCGCCGGACCCCATCCCAAACGGCGGGGCAGCCCTGGCGGCCCGGGGTTCCTTCAATGGCTTTTTTTTGTTTTGTTCCCCCTCCTATCGTCTCCCCACACTCCCAAAGTCTGGCTTTGCTTTTGGAGGAAAGAATCCCGCCCGCCTGTGTACGCCGGTAAAGCGGGAGCGAGGCCGCCCGCGGGAGCTGCCCAGCCGGGCTCCCCGCGGCCCCGGAGGGGGCTGCAACCAACTTCGGGCCGAGGGCGGTGGCTGCCGGCGCCCCGTGTTCACCGCCTGCTCCTGCCGGGCGCGGCCCCAGCTCGCTCGCCGAGACTCGGTACAGGTCTAAGGCGAACGAGCGACCACAAATCTCAGCTCGCACCGATTTATTTTAAATTAAAAAATTAAATCTACATCGAAAGCAAGAGAAGCCTAAAGCGCCGGTATCCGATACCCCCCCAGAAGGACTAAATTCCGGGCACGGCTCCGGCCGCGCTCCCTGGCAGCACAGCAGCCGTCAACAAGCACGGTAACGGGATAACGGCGGCCGCAGCTCCGAGGCCGCGCCCGGCCGTGCGGTGCAGGCGGGGAGCGGGGCCGGGGCCGAGCCGCGGGCTGTGCGGGGAGGGGAGACAGAGCTGGCCCTGCCCGACGCCAGGGAAAAAGGATGGGACGAGCGGAACGGGGCGGCGGGGCTTACCTTGCGCGGCCTTGTCGGTGTCGGGGCGAGCGGCGATGGCGGGCAGGGCGGGCGCGGTGCCGAGCAGCCGCACCTTGCAGGGGCTCCGCCGGCCCAGGATGCTGTCGATGCAGTAGGAGGACAGCAAAGTTGGCGATTTACTTTTGCACTCGGGGCGCTCGGCGCAGCTCTCCTCCGGATAGGGGCCGCTCATGGCGGCGGCGGCGGGGCCGAGCCGTGGGGCCGAGGCGGGAGCGGCGGCGCGGACGCCCCCGCGGCGCTGCCCGGTGCCGCCGGGACGCCCGTCACGGGGGGAGTGAGCGGCGGCCGCGGCGCTCTTGAGTCCCCTCGGCTCCACGTGCGGGCAGCCGCCCCCTGATTGGCTCCCGCCGGAGGCCGGGCGGCCGCCGACAGACGGCGCCCGGCAAAGCCCGGCTCGGAGCGCCCCGGATCGGCGCCCGCCCCGAGTCACCGCCCTGCCCCCCCGCCCCGCCCCGCCCCTCCCGCCGCGCCCCGCCCCCGCTCCGTGGGGGCGGCAGCCGGCGGGGACCCGCTCGGGGGAGCCGTCGGGGGCGGCCGGGATGGGCGGAGGCGGCGGAGCCTTCGTGGAACGCCTTGCCCCGTCCTCCCCCACCCCGCCCCGACGGAGTCCCGCTCCCTGCCCGCCCCTTCCCTCACCCTGGGCGATGCGTGAGCGGGATGGCGTGGGCGCCGCCGGGGAATCCGCGCCGCGTTTTCCCGCGGGCGGCTCCGCTGCCGGCCTGGCGCGGGGACGCGCAGGGGCGCGCACCCGCCGCTCTCGCAGCCGGCGTTTGAAATACCGGTGTCCGAGCTCGGGATTTCAGTGTAACAAACCCCTGGGCAGCGCCTTCAGGTGCGAGGGCGCGGCGGGGTCTGGCGCAGCGAAATGCGGTAGCCGGGGAGAGCTTCCCTCGGGTAGGGCAGGGCGCGCAGCCCGGCATCCCCCTCCCTGCCCTGACAGCTTCCGTCTTTCACCGCACACGCATCTCCCCTCCACCGGCGCTTTCAACGCCGTTTCTGGGCCGGAAGACTTCTGACGGTTTTTTTATGCTCTCTCCTTTTCCCTCGCTGTTGAGCGGTCACAAGTTCAGGCTCCCCGTTTGGGCAGTTTGGGCTCAGTTTTGATGGGCACGGTACAGCTTACTGAGTGTCCCCTGCTCACATATGCGCTCCTGGTCCCAGACTCCCGCAAGCACAAAAATGTCGGAGAAACTGCTCCCGGTGACCACAAATAACCCGTCTGCTCGCTCGGGTTATTTCCAGCCCCCAGCGCCGGAGCGGAGACAGCCCCATTTTCCCTGCTCGTGCCGCAATTCCCGTGCGGATCTGACTTCTCCTAATTGACCAGCGAGAATTAAGAGAAAAGATAAGCAAGTTCGTGTGCGTGTCCGTGCTGGCGTGGGCACAACGCCGTCCTGGCTGTGTCCACGCCCGTGTGCGCACACACACACGCTCCCAAGCTCCACAGACGCGTGTCCGTCCGTGCCGCGCGGGGACAAGCGTTACACTCAAGGTCGTCCCTTCTCTGTAAGCGGGCTCGCGCAGGGCTCCTGCCCCTCATTCCCTCCTCCTCGTTTCCTCCCTGACCCGCGGGCCAGGGCGATGCCCGCGGGAAGCTCCCCGACGTGCGCGGCCGGCGGGCCCCGCTTTCCCCGGGGGGGGGCCCACAGCCTGGGCAGGCGCGCAAAGCTGCTGTTTGCTGTCGGTGCTCAGCTCTGGGAAGCTCTTGCCGTCCCCAGCAGAAGTGGCAATTAATCCATTAACTCAGTAACTAAAAAAGACCCACCCCAAACCCCAAACCAGCCAAAAAACAAAAAAAAAAAGCTAAGAAGACCCAGGGGTACCCTTGGGGAGGCTCGGCTCAGCAGAGGAGCTGCTGCCTCTCGTGCTCGCCCTGCCCGTGCCGGGCTGCTCCGCCGGGGCTTCCCCGCCGAGGCTTCCCTGCCGGGGCTCGCCCGGGAGAGAGAAACTGCGCGGAGCTGCGGGCGCCTTCCCTTCCCTCCGCTTTGCCGGGTGCCGGCCAAGCCGGGGAGGGCGAACCGCGACACTGCGAGTGGGAGAGCAGGGACGGGCAGGGCTGTCGCGCCGCCTGCCCGAGAGGGGTCCCCGATCCCGCCGGGGCACGGGCGGTATCCGGAGGGCACGGGGGACCGTCGGCGCGGCAGCTGCGAGGGCTCCAGCAGCGCCGAGACTGCCGGCGGTGCGAGCCGGTGCTGCGGCGGGCGGGAGCTGGAGCCTGTCGGGGACGGGCGGAGCGCAGGGAGCCCTGCTGTGGCCTTTCAGCCGTCTGCATCTTATTTCCACTCCCTCCGAGGGGCCTCGCCTGCCCCGCTTGCTTGCGCCCCGGCAGGCCCTGCCCGGGGGAGAGCGGGGCGGGCCTGCAATGCTCCCGCTCGCAGGCAAAGGTTCTTTGCGATGCGAGCTCTCCTCTGCCAAGTCACTTTGTTGTTTTATTTATTTTTTAAACAAACTTTTAGTCATCTGTGGTCTCTCCCTCGCCTTCTTTTCTTCCCTTCCCTCTGCAACCTGCTAATTTAACACTGGAGCGCGTTATTGCAGTGTTACGGGGAGAGAACGAGAGAGAGAAAACAACAATACTGCAATGATCCAAATGATACAGTAGAATTATAGCAATTATAGTTCTGCTCGGAGAAGAAAACCTTGCTGAGCTCAGCCAAACAAACTGATGCCTTGTACGGATAACAAGCCCGGGGACTGACAGCCGGTGCTGAGAGAGGCAGGTGGGCACAAACGGAAGTATTTGCCTCTTTTCACTCCAGCCAGCCTACATTAACACCCTCGGCTGCCGCTGCCAGAAAAATGTCCGCTCCGGCTCCGCGCACCCGGGGCCTCCGCGATGTGTTTCTCCCCAGGGACCGGCCTCTGCGGCCCTCCGCACCTACCCCCGCCCGGCTGCGCTCCGTCCCGCCGGGGACCGGGGCTGCGTAAGAGCCCGGGCGGACCGCCATCGGTGCTGCCGCCCCTGCCGGAACCGGCGGGACCGGCCACTGCCCTCTCTGCAAACCGCCTGTTCCCAGGGCAGGAGTGGGGGCCGTGCGCCCCGGCGGGGCGCCCCGAGACCCTCCCACCCGGCCTGGGGTGCCCCTCGCCATGTCCCCTCCGAGGGGGTCAGCGGCGGCGGCGGCACCGCCCGCATCGCTTCGCTTCGGAGAGCGGGTCCAGGGTCGCATCTCCCCGCTCCGGCGGGCCGCGGGACAGGGCGGCCCGGGGCCGGCCCGGGGCCACCACCCGACGGCTGCTCGTGGCGGCTCCCGCACCAGCGCACCCCCTTCTCCGGGACCGGCCCCGGCGGCCCCGCGACCCGTGTTTCCAGTGGTGTTTGAGCTTGTTATTGTTTTGCCCTGTTCATCTTCCTTCCTCTTTACACAGAGCCCCGCCGTCCGGACCGCTCCCCCCCGCAGAAACCATCCTTGCGAGGAGACGTGGCTACAAAATGGCAGTTCGCTGTCAGGACTGGGGAAAGGTGTTTGATCTTAGGGCGGAGACAAGGCTAAGCTCAGTTTCAGACGTTGAGGTTGGAAATGTGCAGGATCGGTTCGAGACTAGCTGAGAGATTGTTTTCACCTCGCAGCGTCTGCCTCGGCTGGAGAGGAGCTGCCCTCACTGTGGCGGCCACCGCGGGCACAATTTGTCACCCACCGACTGAGCACACGGCAGCTTGAAGTCCGTGAGCAGTTTGTACCCATCCCGTGCCCGGTCCATCTTGTAACCCACGTTACAGCTGCTGAAGTCGGGAACCCCTCCGGTGGGTTCCCACTCCCTCCAGCCCTGCACATGGGTGGAGCCGCAGCGGCGGACGCAGCCCATTCCCAGGCTTTAACACAAGCTGGATGGATTTTTTTTCTTTTTACTTTCTTTGTAATGGAGAAGAAAACGATAAAAACTACTTAAAATCCTAGTTTATCACTATCTACTATAGATATCACTATTTGATTTATCACTGTGTACTTTATGCGGAAAAAAGGCTTGTGCAGAAGCTGTAGGGAGGTACAGAAACACTGTTTTTCCTCTGTCTGTCCTCTCGGCTTTCGCTGTACTTTCCTGCCTGTTCCCCGACGTGCCTGGCGCCCTGGCCCCATTCTCCTCCTGGCCCTGTGCTGGAGGAGCCACAGTTCCTGGGCAACGCAGGGTCAGCCGCAGAGAACGTCCGAGTCTGAAGCACCTCACACCCGGGCACGCAGGATAGTGAAGCACAGATTTCTGTGTTCACATCTAGTCTCCTACAGATGTGATTTAGTCGCATTCCGCCCCCCCCCCCCCCCAGGATACCCTCCCTCCTCCCAAAGTTCCAGGCTATGGTCCTGTGCACAAAAGCAGTAGGGCTGGGCATAGGGAAGGCGAGATGCCCATTCTCCCTTTGGTGCCAGGTAGTAAATGTCCGATACTGTTTAGATGTGATGAACTGGCACATGACCTCCCTCGCAAGCCTCATGGTGGTGTTTTCTTCATTCATATTCAAGATATATTTTTCACCTATGTGGAGAATATTGTTCTGAAACCTCTTCTGGGCACAGACCCGACTTTGCGCAGTTCAGCCCTGAGCTGTAGAGATGGGTGGAGGGCTGCCCTTGATTGCAACCACCAGAACTACTATAGAAGCAACCTTGCTTGATTATTCTGCGAGGGTCTTTAAAGTAGCTTAAAAAAATTGGCTAAAACCTCACAGTCATGAGGGATCACAGAACAGCTGCACATTCCCTGTAGTCATGATCGAACAGCTGGGGGAAAAACAGCATCTCTGTATGTCCCCTGGGGCTCTCTTAGTCACTGGTCACCTGAATACACCTCAGGGTTCAACGGTTTAACCACCTTCTCATTTCAGGTAAGATAACTATTATCCCATTACTGCAGGTTGACAAATAAATGTTGAATAATCTATACACAGCAGCGATTACTGGGGCACCGCACCAAAATCACTTTGCAGAGTGGCTTGGACTTCAGCACATTCGAATTCACATCGAAGAGAGAAATCCATTTCGCAAGTGTTACTTTTTTTGGACTGACATCATCATTTTCACCAGTTTTCAGCCTGTGCCCCTGGATGTGAGGCTGCAGCACCTGCCCATGGGGTGAATGGGGGGTGCCCTCTGAGGCGGGGGCTGCGAGGTTTCAGCTCAAGTCACAGTTAACTGCTAATTGCTTAGCCTGGCTCATACACAGCAACTTGCAGTGCTGCTCTTTTCTGCCTGTGAAAGCAGCCCCAGCTTTTGTTGCTCACTTTGGTTTCAGTGCTAGCTAGGGAGCAATTTCTGTAATAAT